TACATCAAGATAGCACTATTAATAAATCATCAAAGAAAGGTAAATATAGTGTTCGAATAAAGGACATGATAATACTATATTGCATAGCTCTCAATGAATGTTGTCCTATGAATAAACAAGGAAATTGTATAATAAAATGCCTACAACAGGACTCGAACCTGCGACCTCTCTCCAAATAAAACCCAGAAAGCACATGGGATTTCCAATTGCAAAATAAATATATTGCCATTAGGCAGGTATGATATATATTGTTAAAGCATATTTTTTAAGAAGCATATTTTAAAAGGAAAGGATATTTTGGTGTCTCATCATTTGCTAAAGTTCCTGTTTATTGCCCAAGACGGATATGTAATGTTGTTTTATCAATTAGAATAAAAAAATACTCAATTATTATCAATTTCCATTATTATCTATTTTCCAAGTTAAGATTATTGATTTAGGTACAATCAACTTTAACCAATAATATATATTTAGGTCATGCAACTAACCAATCACCTTGGGTTTCACAACACTTTAACAAACCAATCACATTCATTTTGGCATTGTACACTCAACCAGCCAGCTGTAATTATCTTGGGCAAACTTAATCAAACTATAACTTCAATATGTAGATGTTAACTGAAAATTATACAACCAATAAATATCAATATCCAATTATATATCTTACCAAAATCCAGTGCTCTCCCAGAAATGGTTTATCTTTGATATAACCTTGTCACTGTCTATTTCAAATAAAAAGTTGTCGGATGAAACTACATCAACTAACAAGATACATGTTATTAACAATGTACAATATGATGACATGTTGAGGTTTTAAAACCATGTGCCCTGTGAAACCAAAAAAAAAAACCAATATAATTACATTAGGCTAACAGATATAAGACTGTAAATAGAACCTAGTGCATGGTATAGGTGACGTAAACAGTTCAGTAATCAGATTAACGAATGCTTTATATAATCAATTGTGGGATAAATTAAAATATCTTATCATGAGAGTTCATGGCATTGGTGGGCGAGATAAAAAAAAATAATGCGGCGGGTTCACGAAACAATTACACTACCTAGTACCTCGGACGCTCGACTGTATTAACTATACACAAAAAGCAGCAGGAAAGAGCATTTCTGCGGATGTGACCTAATTCTAAAATGGTAATCTCCTAATGATAAATAGTCTTTAGGCCCTACTTATCATTTATGTTTTTCTTTTAGTTTAAAACTAAAATTTTTGCCAATAAATGACCTGGTTTATAATAATGCATGAATGCATTTTTTCTGACAATTTCTTTTTTAGTGAAATTTTGCAGGAAATGAGGCATTAAGATTGTTCACCATTTTTGTCAGTGGATCTGTTGCTGTTTTGGAACTTGTCTTGACCCTTTGGTTATTGTCGTTTTGGTTTATTGCTGTTTTGACTAGAAACAGCTAGACCACCCAAGCCAGTGGCAGATTCAAGAGAGGGAGTGGATGACAGCCAGTCAGCTCAACCCCCCCACCCCTAATTTTTCAAAATGTTAAAAAATGGAGAAAAACACTCATAGGCCTACTACTACTACGCCTACTGTACTATTATGCACTTGTCAATTGTAGTCCCGCCTAGTGGGTACTTAGCCGAGAATGTAATTTACGAAACGGTTAAGTGCATGTGAAAGTCCTAGCCACCTCCCGGCAATGCAGGGCATCGTTTTAATGTACAACCCCCGGCTAAGTCCCGACCACCTACTGCCGGCAAATATTTCGTAGTCCCGGTGCCCGGTAAAACAACAAAAAATTTTCAGCCCTTTTGATGCCGGTTACATCCACGGGTGAATTTTAGGTACGTCCCGGCACTACAAGGTCACAACTAGCTAGGCTCTAGTTGGGTCTAAAACCGATAGGAGCCTTAGGTTAGTAGTAAGCTAGGCCTAGTAGTAGTTACTAGGCCTAGGGCCTAGCCTAGCCTTGGGTTCGGGCTAGGCTAGGCCTCTGTATTGTATGTTGTAGTAGAGAGGAGGAGACCAGGCTAGGCCAACACTCACTGCAGGAGGAGGGGCTGGCCAAAAATTTATGATGATTTATACATTTAATATTTATAAAAAAAAAATCTTTTACAGATATATAAATAGTAGGCTAGTACATACAAGGCCCTATACGTACTGTATATACTTCAAGTTCCCATGTGCAATGAAATGAAATAAAAACAAACATAGGCCCAGACTTTCATTCAGCGCACTCCCGTCAGGTGCCCTCTATTGTTCCAATAATAGTATGGAACGCCAATGAGGCTTTCGCTCATTGGAGAACAGTGACATAATAAAAATACCAACTGATAACTAGATACAGTAAAGTATAGAATTATCTGTTTTGTTGAACCAATTAGTTGCTTACCTTAGTTGCAACTAATTGGTTCAACAAAACAGATGAAATTCTTTGAGAAGACACAGTAACTGTCTCATATAGTAACGCCATTATGTTAAAACACTGTGCTCCATAGGACCCATGTCAACTGAAGCTCAGTGAAATATCGGGCTTGGGGATACACCTGATTGTATTTTATTGCACTGTGGACTCCCAGCGGATCAGTGGTGGCGCCAGCGGGAAAATTCCCCTCACACTCCGGACAGGCGGATCCCTTGTCGCCCGACGCCACGACAAGGTTATCGGCTTAAAAATAGAATTCCTATCCAAATAACGTTATTTAAACTGCCAATCTCTGACGGTCTAAAAGCACAATTTGGACCATACTAAGCCATAAAAACTCTCCACGTGAACCCTCCAGATATTTTTAATTCGGGACTAGGGACCAATGCTCTAGTCGGCCCCTTGGCTTGATCGGACCCCGCGTCGGACATGTCAGACCCCATGTCGGCAAATTTTGAACCTATTATGGTCCAAATTGTGCTTTTAAACCACAATATTATGGTTGACAATGAAAAAAACATCGGATAGGCCGACGATCCTAGTTGTAAATTTGGAAGAAGGAGGTCCAGGTCTGTCATTAGACGGCAGGAGGGGGATGCACACCCACTGGCGCCACCACTGGGTAGTCGCTCACCTTAAAACATTTTAACATAATTTGTTCATCAACTTACACAATTAACTTTTTTGAAATACAAGTTATAATCTCATCAGCCAGGAGTACTCACCTTTTCCGCCGGAAGGATACAGTGTTAACAAAATGGGTCTTGAGTATAAACTCCATGGTATAAACAAAGGTTAAAATACAGACGTATAACCCTATTCTATATCACTTTGCTCCAGTGGTGCCAAATTGGTTCCAGACTGGATGAGCCAATGGGTCCACCAGAGCACTGCATTAGAATACCAGGTATCCCTATATGCTGTCACTGTGCGCCAGTGGTGCCAAACGGGGAGTCCAATGAAGAGAATAGTTTTGGAAAATAATTATATTTACCATTTAAATTTATGCTATATTATTTTATATCATATCCTATTATATTTAATTATCATTATGCCTTTATTTTATCGTTTTCTGTTACGATTTTTTATGCTACGTTTCGGTCTATTAACATCACCTATCTATTATTCTGCTATAGCTGTTCTCACAGCACTTTTTTCTCCACTTTATAAGACCTACGGTATCGTCTATGGGATGACGCATTGTGTATATGTTTTTTATTTCATTCACCTGATGAAACAAGCCCAATCTAGCGAAAGCTTGTGTCTCAATAAATTTCGTTAGTCTAAAGAACGTGCTTCTGTACTTATTTCATTTGTATTTCAAATTAAATAAGTATAGCAGCACATTTTTTAGACTGTACTTACTCAGTTGTATTTCAAAATATAAACAGATATCCTTATTCTATATCCTTGTGTTCCAGTAGTGTGGCCAAAATGGGTGCACAGAGTATTAAAATATATAATGGTGTTGAAAAATAGACATTAACTCTATTCTAATTCTATATCACTGTAGTACTCAAATCAATGTAATATGTAATTTTTTTTAAAACATTGTCGTTGTTTCTTTTGTCGTTGTTCCCTTGTGTTTGTTCCATCGTGATTTTGTCTTGTCTTTGATCATGGAACAAATTACTTTTTATTTTTTTTCCCGGTTGAGCCAGTCGTAAAGCCATTTGGGCTTATTTGACTTCTCCAGACACAATTGCGTTTGATTTTGTTTGCATCTATATTATTTTTGAATACCACCATTATGCATTGTGTGAATAAATATGAATCTGAATCTACGCAAATAGAGACAGTACTGTATTAAGCAATTAGTAGAGCTCCGCATAGTACACTATAGGAAAATTATTATACAAAGGTTAGATTTAATGCTTGAAAAAATTCCTGAGGGCCTGTAAGGCCCGAATTTTGAATGCATTAAATCTAACCTAAGTATAATAATTCCATTTAGTGTACGATGCATGCTCTACTAATTGCTTTATACGTCAATCGCCGTCTTTTAATTTTAGTTTTTTTTTATAACCAACTGTTGTAGCAGTCATCGGTTGCTATAGTGATATAATCAGTATACCGTGTGCGTATTTACATTTTGCTGTGCGTATGCTGATTTTTGCTCCTGCAGTACGCGTTTAATATACGTTATAACCATGACCGACGATAACTCGAAAACTCCATTTCGATACTTGGAGTATGTATTATACTACAGTATCTTATCTGAGATTAATCAGTGGACCTTTCGGCCATTGGCGTTCCATACTGTTATTAAAACAGTTTCCCCAGTCGCCAAAAGGGCAACCACGCGTACGTCGCGTGTGTGTGTGAAGCGTGTGTGAAATGAAGCGGCTTGGTGTGAAGTGAAGCGTTACTGGGAATTTCCCGAATATTGAGGAATATTATGTGGAGAGTTTTTAGTCTCTTTCTGTATATCAGGTAGGCCTACTATTTCATTATTCTTTACAACGTATTGCTTTCACAACACCATCAAGACATTCAAAAATTAATATATGGTGTAGTGCCTAGGGTAGGCCCTATATTATAGATTGTTGTTGATTTTTACAGAGGTAATGGTTCGATGGGTGTGTCGGTGTGTGTGTACGAAGTATAGGCCTCTAGGCCTACTACTACTGTTTCTCCTTCCCAAAAAATTGAAAAACTGTACACGGTGTCAAGAGAACCTTGGCTGAAACCTAGGCCGATCCTCAAAATGTGGTTTGTATTCTCGTAATTGTGCCAGCGCCTTCCCAGCATCCTCCTCCTTTCCTAGAAAGTGGTTATTTTCCGAAATAATGTTCATAACTTGAATCCCCCACCCCCATTCTTCATTTTGTTTTCACAATTTCACAAAAAATTATTTGATCTATTGATGCATGTAGGCCTACACCCTACCCCCACCGTCCCCACCTCACCTTCTCATTCAATAAGTCTAGCTGTGGTGCTTCCCCATTGATGTTTTTGCCATTGCCTGCATCTCAAATGTATCTGTTGGCTTACAAACAAATATTTATTGCAGAATTTTTTGTAAAATAGGATTTTTTTTTCTAATTTTATTTCAGAATCACTGAAGGCAATGAGAATAACATCCACTGCAAGTGATAAGGCAATGTAAATTTGAAATATGATGGCAGCCTCTACATCAAAACAAGAAACTTGTAAGACAAAATAAATTTGACTTTTATTTTCTAATAACCGAGAATAATAACCGAGAATTATTATTTCCTGAACACTGTAATCATTCTATATTATTACAAAATTGACATACTCATTACTGATCTAGAATTGTATAAGCAAATAGAAAAATATAGAAATTTTTTTTTTTTTTATCTAGTTAATGTTTTTTTGAAAAGCAGTCACAATATGCTTATTTTTTATTTGTTTATTTCTTTTATTTATTTTTTATTTTAACCCATGAAATGCATGGAACTTGGATTAAAATAGCATGAACCACTTCACATTTTTTATGTTTAACAATGACTAAATTTGGCTCAAGTGGATAATTGGTATTTATATCAAAATCCTAATACACTGCTCTCATGTCAAAATCATTAAACTTCCATGATTCATTCAATGAACAAAAAAGCGCATCAAGCATTTTGTATTTTTTACCACACAAAATGTCAGTAACGAGAAGAGCATGTATTTTAACAAGCTTTTTCGTTTCATGAACAAACACAATCTTCTTTCATTGTCAAGTTTATGATGTGAGCTACGATATTATGAAATTAAACTAACTTAATACTAAGCACAGCAGTCGCGGCTCGTGTGGGGGGGGGGTAGGGTGATTACTGGAGGAGTTATCCCCCTACGGCTTAAAGGAGAGAGAGAAGAAAAGAAAATAAAGAGGAAGAGCTGAGAAAGCGAAAAAAAATGGTATTAAAGGCGCTGAATTTTACCTCTATAACAGTTGTAATTTGTTTCTCATATTGACTATGCAACTACCCAGATTTTTCTCTGGGTCCTCCCCTGCACAGGGTTGGGGATCAAAAGTGTGCACCAACAAAACCGACAGACAATAGCATTTTTTTTTTTTTTTTGCCATTTCATACCTGATTAATAGCATTATACTTTTTCCTTTTCATATTTTTTTGTACAGCTGGAAGCCCTCTGGGTTTATCTGATAAGAATTTGAAGAAGCTGTCTGTGAAGGTTAGGGACTGGTATGGATTAGCAGTAGAGCTTGAAATTGATGATGATTTTGTGGATGAGCTTCGTGATAAAGCGTTCACCCCTACTGAAAGTTGTGTTACAATGCTTAAAAAGTGGAGGAAATCCTACAAAATGACTATGCAAGCTCAGGTGTTAAAACTTATTGAAACACTGCGGGAAATGAATGACGAAGAAAAAGCAATCTTGTATCTTTCTGAGTTGTTGACGGGTATGTTTCTAACTGACATAATTTTGTTGGCTTAAAATGTTATTTTATTGAAGATCAATATAATAATTATAAAAATTTGTATATTATTTGATTTTTCTATTTAAAAAAATCCTTTTGTCATTTATATTTGTTGCCTGAACAAGGTCCATCAGTAATACAAATAGCAGATTTTACCAAGAAAGATGCAGATTCTAAACCCAGTGTGCATGGTAAGTTACTGCAAAAGAAGCAAAAACTCGAACACATAGATCATACACCTCAAACACCCTTTCAGACATAGGTCTTAATCAGTGGTGGACTGTATGGTAAAATGTGGGGTATGCTTGGGACTGCTAGTGGGAAAAGTTCCATCTATTAGCCTACAGTAAAAGACTAAACTGTGTTCTATAAAGTTAGGATACAAATTCTATATTTATTCGAATAAACACCTCCTTTCTGAGCTA